CCTGGCAAAGGGTAGACCTAATGAATACAGTATGGTCAAAAAAGTAAAGTGACTTAGAATGGAATGACGTCATATGTGTATTATTTCAATCCTGTAGACTACTGGATCGCGTTTGTCCTTCCATTTTGTATTCCAAAAAGGGTCCCTCAGAGAAGAATTACCCTGCAGGGTGCTTTTTTTTTATTGCACTTGCGAGGCGTATTAGTCAGTGGGTGTTTCTACTCAAATGACCAAACCTCTTCATCCTTTCTCAGTATAAATTCATGCACACTTTTATTTCTTCCCAGACTCTCGTCCCCCATGTCAACAGTCTGAGTTTAGCCGAATGGCCCACACCCCCAACAGGAGCACCGGACATCTGCAGGGGGTACTTCGGAAGTCCCTAGATCCTCTTCACCACCTTTTCTTTCCATGAGATAAGCATTTTTGTTTCACCGAGTTTAGAAAAATACCATATTTGCACTTTGGGTTTATGGTTTGATTTCACTGTCTTTAGTCAAACACTTCCAAAATCATCTTAAATTTTGAAAGAGGGTCTTTTTTCCCCCATAGGTTTAACCAGATATTTAATAGCTTTAAGAAACTAAAGTTCTAACTCCAAGTTCTCTGAATTCCGGAATCACCCTCCTCATTTATCTGCAGTCCTCTGGCCTGGAAATAACAATAAGGAATGATAAGCATGAAGAGAATGTGCTTCCTCAGTCCTGAGCCAGAATGGGAGCGTTCAGGGAGTTGAGAGTGGCTTTGTGACACAGTATGCCTCATCAGAATCACCTCAGGGAACTTCTTTTCAGAACTCCAATATTTGTCATTGGCAGAGCTCCCAGAGATTTTGATAGATTGATATTAGGAGCTTTAGGTGGATTTGGGGAAATATTTTTGTAATGTTCACATGTCATGATTCGAAAAAAAAATTCATTTGAATGCAGTCGTCTTAAGACCACTGTGTTTGCAAGCAGCACCCCTACTTCAATGGAATAATTTTTCTCTGTTTATTCCCTTAAAGGTTCACAGAAATAGAAAAACCATGTGAGATTTCTTGGTGCAATTTTTTCAAATATTGAAGTCTCAAATTTAGGAGACAATATAAAAGGAAGAAAAGGAGGAATATATTGTGCTGATTAGGTAGCAAATTGAAAAGCCATGGGGCATTTCTGCTTTGGAGAACGAAGCTGTAGCAGTGGGAAATAAAGGCCTATGCAAATCGCCAATGAAATTAATACATTTTAAAGGTTATCAGAGCAAAACTGCTGAATCCTATAGTTTGTCATCAGTAAATTAAATGCAAAATCACTAATTTAATTTGTATGAATTACCAGTTGACTTCTAATGTATGGAATAATAAGAACTAATGCTACTTTATGGGCTGGAAATGAGATTTTTTTTTATTTTCAAAAGAGCAAAGAGACAAGAAATAAAGTTGATTCAGAGACCAAACAACCTTTTAGTTATAGTAATTTGTTGACTTCTAATGAAAATTTTTTTCTGGGTTTTATTTGCAATTTTCTTGTTCAAATCAAACTCAGATGAAATGTAGGGAGGCAACTGACTTCTCAAAGTTGGTCTGGTTCTGACCCAAGAGAAAGGAATCCAACCAGGGCAGTGTGGGCACACTGCCATTTGCCCAAGAGAACCATCTACACTCTAGTTTCTCATCCTTAAACTTGACTGAGAGGAATGAAAGGTTGTGGGGTTTTTCCCATACGTTTTTCACTGAGCATGAAATTCTGAGCTGTATGAAATTGACTTAACAAAAGAGACTTTTGTGGCAATGTCTGGGAAAGCAAGAAAAATTTTGAATCCTGGAGCCTTAGCAAAAATCAGAATTATAGAATGTTAGAACTACAAGGATCCTATGACATCATTTTTATCCAACTACCCACTTTGTAGATAATGTAACAGAGACCCAGAGAGATGAGACCCATCAGAGGCAACATAGGCTCATCAGCAGCAGATCCGAACTGAAGGCAGGGGTCTGAAAACCAGGTCTCCTCACCTTTAATTAATGGCAGCATTAAGAGATCGATCTTTTCTGCATACACTTAATTTTCACCCATACACACACCCACACACTCATTCCTACTTCTGGGGCTTGCCTGTGTAATATTTACAATCCTGCTCTCATACCTAGGGTGACTGGCAAGAAACATACTGTGTAACAAAGGCTGCTTCCTCTCGGAGTCACATTTTCCCCTGAATGCATCCCTTGGGATACAATGTTCAGTGTCTTCCGTAGCCGGAGTGGGGAGCAGGAAGGCTCACCTTCAGAGAAATGCACTGCCAGGTGGCTTCGCCCTGCTTGTTCAGACACCTGAAAGATGTGCTGAGCAGCTCCGGAGAGGAACTTCGTTTATCTAACTGGCAAAAGAATTAAAGGATAAAAACACAAGCGGGGCAAACAAAGATGAACAGCAGTTTTATAAACTGTTTCCACAATGCACTGTTTTTAAAAAATGGTAGTGAATTCAGTTCACATGGATTGACACGGAAGTTCACCCGGGTTCTTAGTAGGAGGTGGGCAGCCCTGCACTTCCCTTGTCACTTCTCTGATGTGCGGCTCTTTTTTTTTTTTTTCATCTTTTGCAAATGGATTTTTGGCTCTGAGAAACAAACCATGATTCCCTTTCCTACTGAGCTTCTGGAGCTGAGTTTAACACATGTGATGAAGTTCACAAAATATGAATCAGAAGGGACCATAATGAACATCAGAATTTAACTCCCCCCTGTTTATAGGTGAAGAAACTGAGTCTTAGTGAACAAAGCTAAGGTCTCTAGCCTGATAAAAACAAGCAGGATTAGAACCCAGGTTGCCTGATGTCGGTATTTCCTCGTGCTTTAAGCCAGCCATCGGGCTGCAGGAACGGTGTGCTGGATGCAGTTTAGGCTCTGCAGTCTGGGGTCTGCGATGAATTCCCAGCTCTGACTCAGATAGTATCCCGGTGACATTAGTTACTTTCTCCGTCATATAGTTTCCTCACCTGTGTCACGGGAAGAAAATGTTCTCTGTGACATGGGGCAGGTGTGAGGATTAACAGGTTTAGCTCTGTACCTGGTTCAACACAGTAAGAGCACAGTAAATGTTAGCTCTTAGGAGGACGATGTCCTGGAACAGCAGAAGAAAATGCCGGAAAGAAAATTTCTGCTTAAAAGTCATCTACCTATGAAAGAATCCTTCCTGGATTTCTGACATATTCCTGATATGATAATTGCAGCAGCAGTGTATTAAGTAACTTGATCTCTCTAACACCAAAATGCATTATATTAAGCAGAAGTTCATGTACATCGTTACCACCCAGATCACTTATTCATTCAGTAAACTTTCATTTAATGTTCTCTACATGCCATTCTACATTGAGTACCAGAGAATCAAAGGAATGTAATCTATGGTGTCTCTGTTCTCAAAATTCTTCACATTCTTGCAGGAAAATAAGTCCCAAAGGAAAAAAAAATAATGGAGTGTGTGGCAAGTGCAATTTTTAGGATGTAATGAGAGCAACCAGTAAGGGTGCTGAGTCCACAATGCAGGAAAGGGACTGAGTGAGCTCATGTTTCTCGGGAAAGATGATCCAAGTCTTGCAGCATGAGTGGGCATAAGCCGGGAGAAGTCTCGGGAGGGGGACTTTCAAGCAGTGGAAAGCTCATGTGCGGAGGTAAAGTGACATGACGTAACACCACACGTCGGGGGAGGTTCGGATAGTTCGATGTGGCTAAAATTCAAGGTTTAAAAGAAGGAATGGTGTAACAGGTGGAAGTCAATTCCAGATCATGAAGAGCCTTGAATGTTATGCTGGGGGCTTCCAAGATTATCCTGAAAGCATTGATAAGTCAGTGAGGGATTTGTATGCAAAAGGATCACTTGATCAGACACTGATTTAAGAAAGGGAGTTCTGAATGCTGATGAAGCATTGATTGGGAAGAGTGATGACTGGAAGAATGGAGAAAGTTTCAGAGAAAAATTTAAACTGAAGGCAGGAATGATGAGAAGAGAAGAAGGTTGGAGTCAAGATGCCATGAATAGGTCAGTGATGAGGCAGAGAGGAGTCAGAGATGACTGTTCGTTTTCTGATTTGAGGTTCTTAGATTAAGGAAGAAGCCACTCACAAAAAAAAAAATGAAATCCTAGAGAAGAAGAAGATATTGGGGATAGAATGGGCAAGATGCTGGATTTAATGACACATACACTAAGTTTAAAGAGCATGTGAGATATCCACGTTAAAATGCCCTGAAGATACTCTGGAACCC